CAGCCAAAATAGAAGCTTACACTGAGTCTGAAGTGTTACAGTTTCATTTTTTCATTTTTTTATTTTGAGATTTTATCGAACTTTATCTAATATTCGCTGCTTCAATTTCTTATTTCTAACTTTTTCTATTTTTTATATCCACTTTTTCATCCAAGTTTGTCGCTGGCTGGTGTCTCAAGAAGAAGCAAAAGAAAAGCAGAGCACTAGTAAAACGGCTTATGCCTCAAGTAAAAAGCTTGTTAGAAACTGTTTCATACTGGAACAGCAAGCCCGAGAAACAAAATGTCAGCAACTGAAATGCAATAAGAATTACTAAATCACTCAAGGGAAGGTGAAATCAATGAAGCTAACGTGCCCGAGGTGTCAACAATTTCAAACTGAATAAGCGGCTTTTCAAGAGCTTGGAAACGAGCAATGGCAGAACGTTCTTTGGAGAAAAATAAAGTTGCAAATTCAGAATAAATATACATACCACTATATATTGGTAGTCTTATTTTTTTTTTTAACATGTTGCAATCAAGCGTTTGTCTATTTGTTGTAGTCGAAATCTGACGGGAGTCCAAAGTAAAGTTTTTTATTCATAAAGTAACATGGTTTTTTTTTGCTGTAATTCATTTCTAGAGATCTTCAACTAGTTACCCACAAAATAAAAACTGGATATCATCGATTTTCTTGTATTTTGCCTTTTTGACACTTTTGTGTATTCTTTGTTGTATTATATCAAATTAATAAAATTTACCCTGAATTTATATAATAAATTTGTGCTGATCTTATCCGGATCAGCAATTAATGTATTTTACTTAAGTTTCTTTAAGGCTTCTATACATACTAGCTGAAAACCTGTGCTTTGCATAGGTGCACATATAGTCTTAATCACACTTTTGGTTTTAAGAATTTGGTGCTTATAGAAAAATTGTGTTTATATAGAGATTATATTTTATAAGTATTATATAAGTTGGTTTTAACAATTTATATGATTATAAGTAAATGTAATTATAAAAAAGATGACTATAAAAGGGAAAGACTATATAATAAAAAAATTAAGTATTTATATAATATTTATATAATAAAATATTAAAGTATTTATATAATAAAATAAAAATGAAATCTTAATATAATAAAAAAAAAATAAAATATTTATATTATAATAGAAATAAATTTTGAAATTTTTTAAGATTTTAAGGTTAAAAAATTCTAATTTTTTATAATTTTACACATTATTTAGATACCAAAAATTTTTTGTTCAACAGTATTTGTTTCTGTTTTAAAATTGTATTTATTTATATATAGTGCAAAAAAAAATATTCATGATTTTAATTACAGTTAGACATATTACTAAAAATAAGGTTCATTAAAGCCATTTAATAGATCTACATATTGCATAAATTGAATTCTTGATATCTATATAATCCACTAACTATAACTGTATCAAAAAAATAATACTAACTAGTACTTAGCTTTAATGTTTTTTAAAAAAATAGAAATCAATTCTAGATCATTCTATTGAAATTTGATTGACTGCTTTTTGATAAATCAGTTATATTTTGTAACTTTTTATAAGAGTTAACTATGACAAATAATTTTATAAATATGAAGTTAGATGTTCAAAGTTTTATAATCAAGATTAATCCTATTGGTATTAATTCTTTATTTTAAGATGTATAAAAATTTAAATAATTATATAAGTTTTACTATTTTTTCTGCTTAAAATCTACAATTTATTTCACACTTGATTTGCATTTCTGTTCATTTTTGGTAATGCACCTGATTGGATTATCATTATAGAATAATTTGTTATGCTTTACAAAAAATATGTTAAAATTAACTAATAAATATAATAAATAATAATATTTTTGAATAACAAATTATTCTATAATCAGAAGATGTCTAAAACAGAGGCAATTTATATTTCTTAATAATTTATTGATTAACTTTAGAATTAAAGTCACTTTACATTAGGGTTAGTTTAGGTTTTAGGTTGTTATATTTATGCAAAATTGTGTTTCTGACATTTTTATTAACCTACTCAAGACAGGTTTAAACTGCATTTTTTGTATTTTTCTGGTTTTTCATTTTTCTTATAGTGTTTTGCTGATGATTATTCAAATTTTATAATTTGATTAGAAGATAATCATATGAATTACCTCTACTTTAGACAACCCCTATAATCAGAAATTATAAATATATTGTATATATATGTATATCAGGACTTTAAATTAGTAATATTATCTAAACTATTTGAAATGTCTTCAACTATATTATAATTAGCTTTACCAATAAGTAAAAAGTAAAAAATACTTAGATAAATATTAATTATAATATAGTTTGATATATTCTAAATAGTTTGGATTACTATTTCAAATTTCAATAGCATCTGTTTTTTAATAAATAATATATATAATTACATAGTTAAGCTGTTAATATAGCATTTTGATAATTCTTTTTTAATAGTAATACTTTGTAAAATTACTATTTAAAAGAAGTTATTAGAGTGATTCATTAGCAGCTCTAATATAGAAATGGCTCTGAATTTAGTTAGTAATATATATATATAAAAATTAACATTTAGATTAGTAAATATTTGTATATCAATTTAGTTTAGATATAAAACATTTATTAATCTAAACATTTAAATCAAAAATTTAAGTTCACAAATATATTTATCTTTTAATTCATATTATTGATATTGTATAGTTGATTTATGTAAAGGCTACTTAATAAAAATCAGTAATTCAGATTCATTAATTAGTATATATGAATAATTATTATTATTATTATTATTTGCTTACTTTTTATATATAAAACACATATTATGAACTTTGATATTTTATAGTAAATTCATTATATAAAAGTTGTGAATTGCAGTGTTACAACTTTAAGTTAAAGTTAATACTTCATAATAATGATTTAATAAAAATCATTACAATATCATAAAATGTAATCAATATTTCGTAACTATAAAAGTCAGATGCCATAGTAATTATTTTTCATGATTGTAAAGTTTTAGTAAAAACATATTTTACATAAAATTATCTAATATATTGCCTATTATAATAAAGTTAATATATGAGGATGACAATTCTGATATAGTAGTTGAGTTGTCATCCTCCAAGTGGCAGATCTAAGGTTCAAATCCTACATACAATGAAATTTGGTAATTAACCTGTGTTATAGTAAACTGTTTCTTGTCAATCAGTTAGATTTAGATATCTGTAATCTTGGGTACAACCAATTGGGTTCTACTTGTCATTGGGAGTCTAGAGCATCTATGTAAAGTATAATGTTATACATATATAGAGAAATGTTAATAACTGATATTATATAAGACTTCGGTGCAAATCCATGATAAGACTACCAGATGTAAAAGACCAAGAAATCGTGAAGATGGAAGTTTACTTGAAAATTTCTGAATAAAGAGTAGCACAAGTCTTCAATAGTGCTATCAGACTGGTGGAAGTCCAGGAAACTCCAATAAAAAATAGGCAAGCATGCAACCAAATGAAAAGATGTATAAAGGAGCATATGACCAACCAGGCTACCAGAATCACTAGAAGAAAAGAATACTAAAGTAGGCTTTACTTATTTGTGCCAATAATACAAACTTCTAAAAAGAAAATAGCCAATCAGTGAATTCAAATTTTGATCATTTCAGATCAGCCTGATATGAATTCTGAACATGTGTAAAAGAAGAAAAACCAAAAAAAACTCAAAAACTAGTGTTTAAACCAGTCTTGGTGTACTAATTAAAAATGTCAAAAATAAAATTTTATATATAATAAATGATAATTTATTACTATATCTTCTAATGTTAATATTCCAACTCTAAATTCATGTTTTATGCACTTTGTTTATTTATAAAATCAAATTTTCTTTTTTGAATTGTATTACTGGCACAAATAAGTAAATTCTACTAAAGTATACCATACCAGTCTATCTGGATTAGGAGTCTGGGGAATCTTTCAGATTCTGAGTTGGATAGTAGAGGGGTAAAGTAAAGAAGTTAGAATGATAGGTACTGGGGTTTGAGTAAACTTTACAAGGATAGAAATAGTGTAATATAGCAGTTAAACAGGTAAACCCTGTAACTGCAAGTGTTAAGTAACTATAGCATGTTACATAAAACTAGGTCAGCTATATGTAAGACATGAAAGGCTCTAGTAACAATGCTTCTGAGGATACACTACATAAAATAAGATATGGAGTTCTAAGAAAAATAGATAACAGTATCTAGACCTTTTTGACTGATAACTGTATCAGAGATAATCTAGTAATACAGTAAGGATTGCAGCACAGAGGGTTTAAATAGGCAATGCCTTTAGATGGGTTGCAGATATGGCAGCTAGTGTAGAACCATTGGTAAACTACTTAAATTAGACATCAAAAGCATATGTGTGGCTAGTTGTACTCTCTAATGTATGATGACTTCTTTGAGGCTTCAGCTATGAGTTTTTTCATCCAATTTACTAAATAAAACCCTAGGCCTATAAGAGGCTAGTTTAATATCATAAAAAAAAAAATAATAATAAAGTTAATATAATAACAGCACTTCAAGATAAATGTTATTTAAGGTAGTACAGTTTTTAATATTTGGCAGAAAAAAAATTTTGATTGAATAGGAAGAAGTACAATAGGAAAGAGCTATATAAAGTTGGCCATATATAAAAACAGCAGTTCAAAAATTCAGGCCAACATGCTTTAGTAATTGGTTCTAAGACTTATTTATAGTAATAGCAAATGTAATGTAAATTGGAAACTGTCTTTGTTTAAAAACAAATGATAGGTTTGCTGTTGAAGATGTTAAAGTAATGCAATAAATTTTTTAGCATAGTTTTTACTAAGGATATATGCTTTAATGACATGATTTATAAGATGACTTACAACTAAGTAAGAGCTATTGCAAAGATTCTAATAAGAAGCAAAGTTGCGAAGAAGAATAATAAGACATCTGATTTTAAAGTCAAGTTTAGAAGGTGGCATTTCAGATAGATTAAGAGTGTTTAAATACTCAATAAGATATATATTGTAGTTGTCAGTCTTATCTTCTATAATAGCACTATTAGTGCTTAAATATATATGTTTTTCTCTAGAAAACATGTCAAGAACAGCACAATTAATATCATAAACATTATTATTGTAAGCAAATAAAATTATTCTATTATTTAGGTATTCATCATTAAGTATTTCTAGTTGTATATTAGAATAAATAACATTAATAAGAGATTATATGTTAGGACCAACTTTTATGTACTCAGGAAGTAGAATTATTTTATGTAGTTTAGAAGTATTTATTCTATTTTCAACCTATGAAAATCAAGTAATAAAGTAATAAATAAGATATAATAAAAGTTCATGTTAAAAATTTAGTATATATATATTGTTTTTATTAAAACTTAAAAGCATTAAAGTATGCTTACTTCTAAAAGCCAATTAGAAAAGCATTTATTTTCATTTGATTTCATTCCCAAACACATATTTATTTAAAAGTATATATATTTACATATTGCTATAGAAGAGATTATTGAAGAGAAGTAGCAACTATTTGCTTTCTTAACTCCTTGATAATAACTGGCAAAATTTAACAGAAATTTTCACCAAATATAACAGTGATTCCTCCAAATGGTTGATAGTTATTCCAAATATCATGTAAAGAGTAATTAACAGCTTCAGCACAGTAATAATATTGCATAGGTATTTTGTCTCAAATAAAAAGTTCTGTTTGATGAATTAGATTAGCATGATCAGAATTCTTATCAATTGAACAAAAAGAACTTTCATTAATTTCAAGAGGAATTTTAAATGTTAAGTATGCTGTATGACTACTACTAAATAAGAGGGCTGCAATATTTGATGAAGTTATACAGATTACAATTTTGCCTTCACTGTAAACCTTCATTGCAAGTGTATTATAAACAAATGTTTTACTAGATCAAGCAGATCTGTTTAGAAAAAATAAATTTCTATGTCTATTAGTTATTGAGTTAAAAACACTGTAATATACAGCACACTGTTTGTTGTTTAGCTGTTAAGTGCAGTTGTTTACCAACTTTTAAAGTTTCTCATAGTCTCATATTAATTGTTTAGCAATATGACAATTTCTGTGACAAAGATTTCAGTTATGCTTTTAAAGTGGCATTGAAGAACATCTAGCAAGTGAGTGATTTGAATCACAAAGGATTTTGTCAATAAGAAAGAGTCCATAGTCATAAATCTAATTCTTAGTAGGCTTTTTGATAACATGTTTATGACATAATCGATGACAAACATCATCACAGATGTTAGCATAAAAGTTTAACCATAATTTCTCTAGATAAGTAGAAGTACATTAGATAAGCTGCTATGCATAACAGAGGGTCTTTTAAACATTGATTTCATTTTTCATCATCTTTTAATAGGTCAAGAGCTATACATGTGCTTTTAAATATTGGATATTGAATATTGTTAACTATCTTTAAATGTTTAAAAGATTGTAGGCCATGAACAATAGTGAGTAAAAGCCAAAGATAAAAGCATTCTTTAGCTGACAGGTTTGTGAAGTACAACCTACCAATGGCAAAATCTCTTTTTCGAATAATTCATTTTTTGCTCTTTTTATTCCATACAAAATGTTGTAGAAATTCTTGATATATATATTGTTGAGCAATTTCTAAAGTGGCACAGGTTTCAAAGAATGCAGTAAGAGTTGTTTTTTAATGATTCGCATAGGAAAGAATATTTATGGCATTGTCATTTTGGTTAAAGATAACATTATGCATTTCTGAAAAGTGCAATGCCAATCTTATAACACTTGGTACTTCTTTATGTAAATGCATTTTAAACAGTCACCATGTCACCTTAGGTACATCAATGTATCTTGCATTAAAATATCATTTAATTTCATCAGACTCATGTTCAAATTGCATTATAGTTCAGTTATGACTCTTATAAATATATTTGTAAATATACTTGACTGCCTATAGATATAGGTATTGTTCAAATGAATAAATGAAAAAAAAATTATAAAAAAAAAAATTATGCTTGCAATATCATTAGTCAGTATTAATTTTAAATAAAAATTAACATATTTAGACAGATTATATATATCTGTACAGAAGCACAGACTTCAATATTTACATAACAATTATATTTTTAACTAAGAGCTAGATTATATAGTACTACATCTCTATTATCAATAGTTTTACCAACAATATTAAAAACACAATCATTATTTCTTCTTGCATAATGAGAATATCTGTTAGCATCCATTGATATTATATTATAAAAGTTTTTTGGATACTTCTTTTGGCATTTTTCATTTTTTATATATAGAGTCTAAGAATTACAAGCATTACAAGGGCCATGAATTATATATTGTAATATGGTGTCAAAGAGCATTTGATCAGTTTCTCAGTCAGGAAACTTTGCACATATAATATGATCAATATTAGCAAGTTCTTTTATTTTGTTATCTCTATAAAGAAAGATTAAAAAGTGCATATGAAGAAGGCCATGTTTTTGAAATTCTATTGTATATATGTAAGCTGCCACTCTTCTAAAAATATTGTTGTTCTTAATGTTATAAAAAAAAATGTGACATTTTAGCTCAAATATACATGCTACTAGGTCAGGTTTGTTAGCTGAAGTCTGACCAGATAGCAATTCATTAATGATTTTTGACTAATTTGAATTTGCTGTCATCATTTTAAAAATATCTTGATAATGATAAAATTGGGTTATAGCCATAGAATCTTGAAAAATCTCAAACATATAATATGTACTTTCAATATAAGTTGAAGAAAGAATTATATACTGCCTAAGATTATTCAAATTTATCTTCTTATTTACAATAGTTTTTAATGCATCTATGAGGCCCTGATATACATTTGCCTATAGTAATCCTAATTCATATATAAGTACTTCAGTCTATTTTGCTTAGTTGTTGCCTATGCATCTATCATAAATTCTTGCAATAACTTCCTACCTTAAAGAATTATTAAGAACTCTGTATGATATGAAAAAAGATAAAATAAGTAAAAATTCATCTGCATCAGACATGAGGCTTTACTCTGATTTTCAATATATTGTTTGTATTCATCTATTAAAGTGTGATGCAATTTTACATGTCAACCAAGCTCTTCATGTAAAAAAAAAAGCATATAATGAAATAGTAAATATGCTAGATAAGCTTCATAAATATGTTCAAGTGGTCCTCTATATAATCGAATTACAATGTTATACATTGTCTTTAGCTCTGATTCATCACTAGGTAAAATAACATCTATTTTATTTAATATAGGAAGATTATAGCAACATTGATTTGTTGCTGCATTGAAATAAAGATGAATAACTAAGTTAGTTTCAGATACACCTTTTTTACATACTTGAGAAAGAATCTTATAAGCTTGTTAATATATAGAATAAAATGCATGATGTTTCTAAAGAATTTCTTGTAATTTCTACATTGTTTGAGTATATAAATTTTTGTTTCATCTATTCTTATTTGATGTGCAATATCTGAATTATAAATATAAAGTTGCATATAATTTGCATTCAAGCTAGACTCTGAAAGAAGTAAACCTGAATGGTGGTGCAGTTCATTATGAATATGAAAGCTATACGAAGAATGCCTACTAAGAATAGTTTGATTAATATTTACTCCTAGCAAAGTAAACATGTATGCTGCATTGTATTGGCATATGTTTGCACAAAATTTCTTATATTGCTCATCTTAACTTTCAAAAAGCTGTTATAAAAAAAAAGATGAATCATAGAGAAGCAAAAAAATAACTTTTTCATATCTGCAACATAACCCAAATTTTGGGTTAGTTTTTGAAAAGTTTACAATATGCTCATCTAACCAATAGAATGCATCACAATAAATATATGCTGTATCTATATAACTGAAATTATGTTATATATTTTGCAATTGAAATTGTGCATATATTTCATTGTCTGATATAGTATATGCTCTTTTCACTCACTCAAGCTTTCTTCTTAATTGTTGTACAATAAACCTATAATCTATTGTATTTTTTATTCTTTTGTGCCTTTTTCTTTTCTGTTGAGAAACTACTTTTTGATTTACTGTATTTCTGACTCTCTTGTGTTCTCTTCTTTTTGCTAAGCAATAGCTCTTCTATTTGGCTCACTTGTATATGTTTGCAACTCTTGTTTATGTATGCATCTTAGTTGTTAAGCTATAGCTTTTCAACTTATATTGGCTATTAATTTTGATTTGTAATAACAAAAAAACAATTATAATTATTGATTTTTTGAACTTACTAATAGAACATCTATTAATATCTTTATTGCAATTATCATTATTTAAAAGCACATTTAGATGATCTTAGAACTATTAGTATTGTTATTTCTACTAATCAGAGATTTAAAAAAGTAGTATAGAGGAATGATGCTTATTTTTTGGATGGTTATCCAACAATACTATCTACAATCTGTTAGGATAATCAAAATTATATATCATATTAATAATTCTCAACAATGTTAATAATTAGAGTAATAATTAGGTAGCATAACAGTACAAACTACTATTATCAAAAACCAAGAATTATTACTATAGATGAAGAACATGTTACTTGAAACTTAGTAGAATATCAGATTAAGGAATTAGCAAATTAATAAGAATAGCTAACATTGTAGAGAATGTAAGAAAATTTTTATTAAAAATAAATATCTGAATTGTATAAATAATATCATATTAACAATGCCTTTATTTGGAGCAAATGTGCTCTTTTTTGACATGTATAGGTAATACAAATCAATAAAGAAAATTTAACTAAATACATGTAGATATAAATGTAAAGTTAGCTAGTTAGATTTAGAGACTATAGAAATAGTTACCTGTTTTTATATATAAAATTTTACTTCTAGCATTTTTAATTAGTGTTCTAAAGTTGATTTAAATACTAAATTCTTGTATTTTTACCTTTTTGCTTTTTTTTCTATTTTATACTTCAGAATAATTAAATTTTTTAGCAAGGCAGACAAACTAATATTTATTAATGATCTAACTAATTTAAAAATTTTTTTGGCTTTTTTTTATACTGTTTAAAGTACTTTTTATTAGCTTACCAAAAAATTAATTAAAATTAATTTTTGTTATATATTATACAATTAAAATTAATTAATGATGAAATAATTGCAATTAACTTCTATTTGTTACATGGTTGCATGAATCATTATGTGATAAATAAGAATTCACTAATAAATCATATCAGTAAACTCTTATTGCAATTAATTAACTCATTGCTATTGCACTACCAATTAATTAATAAGTTCAAAAAATTGCAATTAATTGCTTCTACAATCAATTATCTAGTAGACCTGCTTTTTTATTCTGTGATTTTTCAAAATACTACTATTGAATCTATTAAAAAAAAAAAAACTATAGAAAAGTCTATTATTTTAAAATTAATCAAAAATAATAACAATAGTTAAAAAGGTTTCTTATAGGTGAATTTTATGAGATTGAAGATAA